ACTCGGCGGGGCATCAGAAAAGTGTCCTTATTCGCCAAGTTTCATTATACCCGAAGTCTCATTATGTGTATTACAGTTAAACTTTATTCTCACGATGGCACCATCGCCAATAAGAGATAAATTTATGAGAAGGTTAAATGGGACTTTGCTCTGGGCACGGAAATTCTGTCGTTATTCGCGAATTGTCGTTATACATGTACATGTACATGTACATTTACATTTATCCGCAGTCGTTTTTAGCGACGTTGACGGTAGTAGCATGAAACTTTGAGTTTTGACGAATCTGAACTAGCCTTCTTTCTCTTTCTCGTTTTTTAAAACCAGAACAAAGTTATTTTCTTTCTATCCAAGTCGCAACTCCTGTTTTGAGTTGTTTTTCCTCTCTCTTTTTCTTTCCCTACTACATGTAGTTGCTGTAACACTCACTGATCCTTATGCACAGATATACAGCATTCCCTCACTAGTGGGACCATTGTTATTAGGCCAGGGCCTGTTTTGGACTTCTCACTCTACATAAAGAACACAAACAAACAAAAGTGGTCTACGGTATGTGCATCTTTGCGGGACGTTTTTTTGCCAAAATGTCCCCTTTGTACTCGTACAGGTACATGTACATGTAGCTTCTAAAACAACCAAGGGAAAATGGGCACTCTGATATTTAAAGGCTGGCAGTATACAATGTACATGTACATGTACTTTTAAAACGTTACAGGCATACAGAGAGATGGTGAGAAACATTAAAAATAATTTAAAATGATCTTGAGAGTGTGATAGAGAACAAACGATGCATGTTTTTGAAACTTGGCAATGGTTCAGGGGGTCAAGTGTCGGCTGTTTCATGAGTGACTTGAATAAATAGTGCCGTATAAATGCCTGATTGTGTACCAAAACTTGAAAAGGAGGTCTACACATTCATGTACACGTTCATGTACATGTACAGTGCTGCCAACTGAAATCCGACCCCCTGGGCGTCTCTATTATCGTCGTTTTACAATCCCGCGTCGGGTCTTTGCGATGTGAGGGCACCGCTCACGGGCCGGATTTCAGTCGCCAGCACTGCACTTCATTCGAAGTACTGTACATAACTGTACAATCAACACGTCATGTACATGAAGGCTAAAACAACATGTGTACTATACATGCATTCTTACAGGAGGGGGTACAAGGAGAAATCACAGAACTTTTGACTTGGAATAAAACATTGCAGCAGAAAGTATAGGGATTCACAATTCAGAACGAGTTTTACTCTGTATTCATAACCCCGAAATTTGATCCTAGCCATTCCTAGGACATCGTCGCAAGAGGTATATTGACTCTCATGCAGTCCACAATATGCCAGCAGAAAGCCAGTGCTACATGTACATGTACAGAGAGCTACATGTATCTGTTTCGGCCATCTACAATTGGTAGGCCTCATAGTATTGTATTGTATTGTACATGTACGTGTATATTGCGGATTTTTTTAAGTGAAACCACGAACCACGAACCTCGGAAAACAGAATACTGCGTGCTAGAGGTGGCTTCATACGCAACTGTGGTCGTGACACTGGAACATCTCCCCCGACCTGAGGTCTCGCCTTCAGCGACACTTCAGTGTGGATTCTCCAGAGGTAAATGGATAACTATCATTGGAGTACATGTATCTCCAAACCAATAGAAAAATGAAAATTGAAGCACATGTATGCAGGGAGGAGTGGATAAAACTCAAATAATTATAATCTGAGAGTTCATCCGTACAGCTACTTGTACGAGCAAGCAGTAGGCATATGCGGATAATGCCCGCAGAAAAATGGCAGAATTCGGTACTTTTTCTGGTGAGTTTCATGCATGTTTGGCATGTAGATAAAGAAATGGAGCAGAATTCGAGGAATTTCCCGCCATAAGGTTTGTATGGTTCTGCCAATTTCACTGCTTTTCGAGCAGAATCTGCCATCTTTTCGAGCATTATCCGCACACCCCTAGCAAGCAGAGGAAAGTCATATACTCGCACAGGGTTCTGCAACCCCACAGGTTCTTGCACAGGAAAGAGGCACATGTGTGCCCGTGCGAACAGTCGATAAAACTACCGGTAGTACGAAACTCACATCTTCTGACCTTCGGAACCTCTGCCGACTGGGTGTATTCCTTATTTCTCCATCCAAATTCTGAGAAATATTGCTCTTCTCGTCTTTTTCAGCGATTGAATGCTTTATAAAATTTTACGAATTTCCCTTGGTGAAACTGGATATACAATGTAGCAATTTTTGAAGAGATACTTTTGCTGGTATTACAGTAGATTTAATAGACATGAGGTAATCTAAGTTCTGCAGTATATGGATGGTATGAGTTGGAGTGGAAGCGATTTACTGAATTCCATAACCAGAGACATCAGGTTCGCGGAGAGGGCGGCCAGGAAAGTCGTTACGAATCGAACGTCTGTGTTCCAGCTTCCCCCCTGTTGAGAAAAGGAGTTCTCGCGAAAAGCAGGAACAATAGTGGACCACGTGTGCCAGCTATCAATAACGGAAACAAGGAAGCCTGGAACAATGCATGTAAGCCGCATGCTGAATGCGATGTGGTGTCGTTGACGGCACCCTGTCGCTCAACACATTACACATATTATGTTCATGCATTTAACGTATTGTCAAAGTCGTTGAAACACATACACCGTATCATCTAGAAGTACAACAAATTCACTAAAGACTTTAGCATTCTACACGTCTTTAGCCCCAGCCGAGGGATAAAGAGCTAAGAGGTTGGTGCCAGTCCTCCAGATCAACGAGTCGGCTCGCGAGCGATTCCTGCGTGCAAAGTGGCTCACAAAGGGCAATGAAAGAACAGGGTTAGATGTGCATAATGATAATGAAGAGCCACTTCAAGAAGATGTGGGCACTCTCCAAGCCGTTCAGAGATACAGGCACCGGAGTACCATCACTGCGTACTTATAGAGTTTTCCGCACACTGAAGCACGTTCTCGAACGGTAGTGGCAGTTTTCCTTGTGACATTGTATGCAATCTGGACAGTGTGAACTTTGGAATGTGTTTGTGATATTGCTTTAATCACCTGCGATGCACATATACACGTATCAATTTCGTAGTTTCGCAGCATTGCATGCACTGTTACCATCTCACCTGGATTCCATCACCCGCTCAAAGATACTGGAAACACGCACATGTGTACGTGGCAGCGACAGCATCCTCATGTATACATACAAGTGTGAGACTGTCGCGTCTAGTGTGCACTGCCGATACAACTACTAAGATTTAGCACCAGTGGTTCGCATACACCACGCATTACCTTCCTTTCCGAACTAATAACCTCATGTTGCGACAACAATGCAGCACTCCGACCTTTTGGAACTTTCCCAGAGAGATTTAGTTAGAGTCCTTCACCAGCTTGCATGGCCACGTAGTCCGATGACTGGCTGGAGGTGCGAATGAAGGTTCGAAACACGTTCAAGAGAGCGAGGCGGAACAAGACAGTATACTCTTGTGTCTTGTAACGAATTCCGGTATAAAAAGCCTTGAATTTTATTCCTCACCATGACAGATGTTTTTAAAGCTTTCATCTTACTTTGATAACTTAGGAAATCAGTTACCAGCAGTGGCTGTTTAAACTGTAAAAATTTAATACTTTTTCCCGACGTGAGTGAGCAGCCGTTTTTATACCATAACGTTTTTGATTGACCCAGCCTGTGCAACGTATGCACCTCGTCACGTCAACCTTATACCGTATAAAAGAGTGAAGCCAAGCCCCTCCTGCCGCATAAATGGATGGGTTTAATTTGAAAACAACAATTCTCGTCCTGCTGGTATTGGCACTAGGAGTGGAGAAACGCTTCGTGTTGTCACGAAGTCTTCCTGAGGGAGAGTTGCTGGAAATAGCAGGCAAACTGTACCGATTCTGCAGCAAGATTCCCACAAGCCAAGCTTGCCGAAATGTACAGCAGCTCTTGGCAACGAGCTTGGCAACAGCGAGCGTTACTACAACAACGGAAAGCGTTACTACAACGCCAACAAGAGCTACTACATCAGAAGCAAATGGCGACATTGAGCGGTTTTGTACGGAATCTCCTAGTCCTGCGATGTGTCACAACTTCAACAAACGCTTAGCGACTATGCCTGACAGCGCTCCAGTGACCACCAAGGTGAATGGTACTACATCGGATTCGTCCTCCGGAATGGGAAATGAGACAAGTGGAGAAGAGAGAATTCCGATTTCGGGCCATGACACCGATCGTGCCCCAACACGTCTTCACCATAGGATATCCCAGTGCACGCCAGCAACGAGAGCATTTCCAATCCAGGTTGGTGACTGTGTCTTATCTGTGGATCTGCGCTACTGTCGGGGCATGTGTTGGTCCAAGGCAAAACTCACATCCATTAGTTCTAGCCAATCCAGGACATCTTTTTCTGTTGCGAGTGAGTTCTACAAGGCAGAAACCGAGTGCTGCGCCGCTATAGATATCAGGCGTTTACAAAGGACACTGTCATGCGATGGAGTTCAGCATCGCGTAGAGCTGATTGAAGCAGATGGATGCGAATGCCGATAGGAGATTTCACTTCTCTCTAACGCATAATGTGCTGCCACAATGTTGGAGTGAACCAGTCTTCCCAGTTGCTCTACCGTTGAACAGTTTGAACATTAAAGGTATGTCATCATGTACATAGTTCAACTCGGATGGTGAGACAATTAAAATTAATTATGATGAAAAAGGAGAAGGTGTCAAGTCGCGCAGTGTCTCAGCACTCCTTGTCAGTTTTGTGCCATTTTGTCGCACTCGCTGACTGTATAAGATCTGGTTACGTTGGTGGACAGTTAGTCATAACTCGTAACATGTTGTCCTTCTCCTTTTTCATCATCATGATTGTATGCATTACATTTCTCATTATGCTTGAGTCCCACAGCGCTCAATAACCAATGCATACACATGCCACGCACACATGTACACGTACATGTAGGTGCAAAGGATGTGCACATACGGGCGATAAAGCAAGGCACACGTGTTGGTCAAATCTGC